CCTCCTCCTCCTCCTCCTCCTCCTCCTCCTCCTCCTCCTCCTCCGACTCCGACTCCGACTCCGACTCCGACTCCGACTCCGACATTGGTCACGTCTCGCTGGAAAGGAAGAGACTCAGTACATTGATAACCACAACCTGAGCGCTCCATCGTTTACCAGCTGGAAGATGATTCAGACTACTAACACCATAAAGACACAGAGTCCACGTACATGTTATGTCATGGAGGGATTAAATAAATTCAGACTGTCAGCATTTGTTCCCAATATATAACTTTATTTAAAATATTGTTACAATTTATTACTCTACACAACATTTTCAAACCTTTTTTTCCTTTTTCTTATATTGGTTAGTAAACCTTCATGTGTTGTTGTTTTTAAGATATAAAACTCTCCATTTAGTAGCCAACTTCTGCATCAGGTGTTAATTGATGGTGTTTTTAGACGCTGCCTACTCTTTTAAACAGTTTGTAGTGAGCTATACTCCGTACAGCCGTTCCCCACGCACAAAACTAACCATCAACGGTGGCTCTAGCTTTGTCTACTTTCATTTCCCCAATCTTTAGAATGTCTGCTAAAATAAATAAAAGTTTTGAGTTGGAGAAACAAGAGTGCATTTTGTCCAAGAGATATTCTCTTTTTCTTTTCAAAAAAAAAACAACTATTTACAGGTTAAGCTGAAGACAGACGAACACGGCGTAGGTCTTTAATTAATGTCACTGCCTACTTGCCCTGAAAACACCCCCGTGTTTCAAAGCAATGAGCAGAAATCAATATCACAGAGGCTAACACCTTTTAAAACTGCACGTACATCCACCCTTCACGTTCGTCATAGGGAGGACCAGTCAGCTGAAATGGAGGAACCAGCAGCTAATGCCCTCCGAGCCGGATTGTGTGTTCCAGAGGTCGAGGAACGTCGCGTCCACACAAAAGTGACGACGACGCCGACGACGCGGTTCTGACTGAACCAACGGCATCAGAAGGGAAGAGACCGAGCGGCCACTTCCAACACTGGACTCTGAAATGCTGTAGAATTCGAGCCAACGGTAAAACATCTTGCACAACATCTGCCACTGAATGAAGTGATGGAAATCAGCGCCAATTTGGCACGAGATTCCAAAAACTGATGCGTTACTATAGCAACAGCATCATCGAGACGAGCGTTTCAGTGGCGGTCGTGATGAACACAAACTTCCTGAGCCTCACGTGCTGTCCACACAAGGACAAGTTTTTTTTTTTTTCTTTTTTAAAATTCTACTGCCACCCTGTTTGCTGTACCATCAAGTGCTCTTTCATCTGTTAAGTCCTGTGTGCAATTTAATCCTCTTTTTGTAAATAATCATTCCCCGACAAGCCGAGGCTGTCCAGCCTCTCAAACACCAACACAGGTAGCTCACAGCACGGACGAACAAACACGGGTCGACCATCTTAACATTCCCGTCATCTCTCTGCGTTCACCTAAACACACGCTCTAATGACATTTATCTCACCGATGGCAGAAACACACAACAACTGACGGTACGCGCACCTGCCTGTGACTGAGACGGAGCGGAAGACGGCAGCTGGCGCAGACAAGACGACCCGAAAAACACAAAAACATATAGAGAGAGAAAGAAAAACAACAGCAGCTTTCTAAAAGCCTATTCACAGCAGCATGAGTCACGGGGACAGAGAACAAACATCAAACACAAAAAAACACACTGCTTTGAATACAATATTGGGGGAGTGAGTCATTTGACTGACGGGAATCAAACCAACAGAGAGCCAACGTGGTGCTGCCACGGCAACCACATCTCCCTTGGCCGACCAACCTGGAGAGAGTGCACACACACACACACACACACACACACACACACACACACACACACAC